TGAGAATATCAATTTCCTTTTCTTTCTCCAACATTAGATATGATTACTAATTTAAAAAATTGTATGCCCGTTCCTAAAGAATACTATAAAAGTAATTGACTCTTCAAAGAAAGCAAGAAAATATTGTGATTTATCCATAGTTTAGGATATTCTCCCCCAATGCTTCCCTTTATTGGCACTGATCATTGAGAAGTTGTTATACAGTGACATGCACCAAATCTGAAAAAAAAAAGTTTTCCTCTAAAAAAAAAAAATCAAATATACACACACACACACACACACACACACCCCTCTGAACAAGCAGAATTTTAATACATTTAATTCATGCTACTGATTCTCATATTGTCATCATTCAAATGCCCAGAAAGCTAATATAAAATGTGAAACACTCAGGTTTATAAGATTTATAATCTAATTTGAAAGACATGCTAACATGAACTTAAATATATACAAATGCTCTATATAAAGAAATTATGGGACTTTAGCTGTATGATGATGACACGTTTATAAAAAACAAAATAAGAGAACTGCATGGTGTGGTAAACTGTTCTTAACTAACTATGAAAGATCCTGGAAGAGATTATTTTTAGCTGATATCTAAGGATGGGAAAGAACTGGTTAGTTTCTCGTAAAGGCCTAGAATTTCCCATTGCGGAGCACCTAAGTGGCTCAGTGGGTTAAGTGTCTGACTCTTAGTTTCGGCTCAGGTCTTGATCTTTTGGTTTGTGAGTTCAAACCCCACATCAGGCTCTGTGCTGACAGTGTGGAGCCTGCTTGGGAATTCTCTCTCCCTGTCTCTCTGCCCCTCCCCGCTTGCTTGTGTGCACTTGCTCTCTCTCTCTCTCGAAATAAATAAACTTTTAAAAAATCTGTAAAAAAAAAAAATTTCATATTGGAAAACTTTATCTAGGAAATCCTGAGAAGACTGCCTGACTGAAACTGAGGCGATCAATGGGAATATAGTGTGAAATGTCTGGGGAAGGTAGGATTTGAACTTGAGCTATAGAATCATTAACCACAGGAAGGCTCTTAAATTGGACAAAATGTGGACTGGACTTGGCTGATTCTTTTAGGAATGACATGGAAGATTGATTGGAGAAAAGATGGGTTTTGGAAGAGAATCTCCCATAGGCTAAGTACTACAGTTGGTGTTTGCAAGGGAATTACCTTAGTTATTTTACTACACAAAACAAGGTATTAAAATAGAAATAAAGCATTTCCTGAGATGTCAATAAACTTCACTGGTATTTTGTGTGTGTAAAATTCTCACTGTGCCTTTCTCTCACACTCTAGGGGAGGAAGTCCTTGGGAGGAAGCAAGAGCACCAGCACCAAGGAATGCTGTCATGGGGGTGAGGAGGAGTAGGGGACATTGGGGTGGGTGCTGGATGAAGCTGATTCCCAAGCATTACCTGCCGTGAAGGAATTAAGGTAGATCAAGCTCAGTTCCACTCAAAAGAGAAACCACAGAAAATTAATATTGTAAACACATTAAATTCTTTGGAAAGAATTTTAACTTTACTGCCGTTGCTAATTTTAACCCATTTTCCTCCTGTAGTTACTAGAGATAAAGCACTTAAAAAATCCTGAACAAAAGTTGTGTGTTATGTTTACGAATGCCTCTGCCTAGTTCCTGCAGTGACTGATACTGAATGTGAATTGAATGTAGGCTAGCAAGACAAAGAATAAAACAGGGGCAGGAATGTATTATACGCTCACTACTGGGTGGGCCACAAATTAAATTTAGCTTGTAGTTGCCAATGAGAAAAGCAAAACCTAATCAGAGAAATATCAGTAGTCATAAAATTAAAATGGACAAATTGCTCAAGAAAAGCACCATCATTTGCAAGAGGAAGATGAAACATTTCTCCTGATCTGCTTTGAGTAGGTGGGGGTAGAGATGAAGAGGTGAGGCTGCACCAAATTCAAAAGACGTGCCAGAAAATTAATTCCTAGTGGAAGAGTGGGGAATAGGCATGTGAACTATGGAGTTCTTAGGAGATACAGTAAAGGGATAATTTGGGGGGAAGGCATGGTCCCCACAGTCAGAAAGCCTCAGGGGGGCGCCGGGGTGGCTCAGTAAGTTAAGCATCTGATTCTTGATCTCTGCTTGGGTCTTGATCTCGGGGTTGTGAGTTTGGGCCCATGTTAAAAAAAAAAGAAAAAGAAGAGGGCCTCAGGTTTCTGCTCATTAGAAGCGGGGTGGAATGATTTTCTGAGAGTGGGGAGCAAAATATTGAAGCTTAATTCAGATAATAATTGTGAGACAGCAGATTTTTACAAGGTTTGGAAATATGCATCTTTATCTGTATATGAAATGGCACCCATGGTTCTTCAATGCCCTCTACCACTGCAAGTTTTTCTAAAACACTCTTTCATCTTCACTGAAATACATGAAAAGCAGCTCTGATTTGAAAATTTTCAATTGTGATACAATATACATAAAATTTCCCATCTTAACTATTTTTAAATGTACAGTTCAATAATGTTACGTACATTTATACTGTTGTACAAACAGTCTCAAGAACTCTTTTCATCTTGCAAAAGTGAAACTATAACCCATTAAATACCCCTCATTCCACCCTCCTCCTAGCCCCTGGCAGCCACCATCCTACTTTCTATCTATACGAATTTGGCTACTCCAGGTTCCTGCCACACCATTTCTAAGGACGGTATGATATAGGACAGGACCCTTAAACTTATGATTCATGTTATCATTCAATAATACGTGTATTTTTTCCAGAATGATGTTTCTCTTTTGTGATGTGATATATCAGTTAGAATGAAAGCACCTGTATTGTTGATGCACTGTGAAAAGCAAATATAAATGCTATAAATTAACAGTCTTCCTGTAATTCCATGCTCCAGAAATAACTACTGATAGATTGATACATCTCTTTCTCAACGTCTGTAAATACATACAAGACCATGATACACACAGGATCTTGAACCCCAGGTCTAATTATTAGCTACACAGGTTAGCAAGGCTGCTGAGGATAGCAAAGTAGAAAGATGGAAGGAACCTGGATGTCTGATGGCATCACTGAGCCACTGAATTAAGCAACCCTGGAAGCTCCTTTCCTTAAGACTTCTTGTCATTTGAGATAGTAAATGTCCCTTATTAAGTTGCTTCTAATTGGATTTTGTTACTTCTGCCAAAAGCATATTAACTACCTGTGTCATTCTCCTAGACAATTCAGCCTATCTATCCGGAAAGCAAGTATAAACCTATATAAGTCTTACAATAATAACGAAGTGATGACTTTGAACAAAATAAAAGCTCATGCATAATGATGTTACAGCAAGTGAAACCAATAAGCCTTGAAACTCCTGTCATCAAGTAAGTGTAAATGACGTCAGTTGTGCCAAACACAATCTGTTATATAAGATGGTTTGTTTTAAAACACACAGAAAAAAAAAAAAACACAGTATATTAAACTGAACATGATGCAAATTAAGAGCCTAGAATTCCTAAGGAAAATTATGCATTAAAAAAAAATGCCCGGTACACGTCTGCTCTGTATATGTTCTATAACTAATAAAACATCTAATATTTATTGAGCACTTACTATGTGTCAGTGCTGTGCTGAGTGCATTACACTGATTTTTTTTACACGCTATGAGCATTTTTTCCTTTAAACTGTGTTAAAACATACATAACATAAAATTTACCATCTTAACCATGTTTAAATGTACCAGTTCAGTGGTATCAAGTATATTCACATTGTTATACTATGTGCTGCAAGTCTTTCTTTTTCTTTTTCTTCCAGTTTTATGGAGATATTTTACACTGATTATTATACTCTGCAAACCTATGAGGCAGATACTATTACACTCCTGTGTAACAGAGGAGGAAATTAACACACAGAAAGGGTAACACGCACCCAAAAAACCAAGCTAGTACGTACGATGCCATTTATAAGTCCTTACTTCTCAGTCATTCTTCAACCCAATCTAATCTAGCTTTATTTCACCCCATCCCTCTCTCCATAGAACTTGCTTTCAAATACAAGAAATTCATTAATAATCTCCATTTTGATAACTCAAAGGACATCTTACAATCTGTATCATGGCTGGCCACTCGATAGCACATAACTTAATACTTTTCCTTGTTTTTTCATGGTACTACTGGTGATCTTTAAAGCTGTTTCCTGTGGTCTTTTTTCTCCTTTTGTACTTTCTGTATAGGTCATACCGTGCATTCCCAGAGCTTTAAATAACGATGTATTGATGGTGCCTAAATGTTTTTTTTTTAAAGTTTTAAAAATTTTTATTTCTAGGAGAGAGAGAGAGACAGTGTGAGCAGGGGAGGGTCAGAGAGAGAGGGAGACACAGACTGAAACAGGCTCCAGGCTCTGAGCTGGCAATCAGCACAGAGCCCGATGCGGGGCTCGAACCCACAAACCGCGAGATCATGACCTAAGCGAAAGTCAGACGCTTAACCGACTAAGCCACCCAGGCGCCCCTGATGGTGCCTAAATGTGTGTCTTTAGCTCAGACCTCTATCCTGAGCTTCAAACTAGTACAACTAACATCTCCACTGAGAGATCCCAGGGAACTTCAAATTTTTTTAACGTTGTTTTTTTTTTTTTTTAAATTTCTGAGAGAGAGACAGTGTGAGCAGGGGAGGGTCAGAGAGAGAGAGACAAAGAATCTGAAACAGGCTCCAGGCTCTGAGCTAGCTGTCAGCACAGAGCCCAATGTGGGGCTCGAACCCACGAACCGTGAGATCATGACCTGAGCTGAAGTCGGCCGCCCAACCAACTGAGCCACCTAGGCGCCCCATCAGTTGCCCAAGTCAGAGGCCTAGTAGTCATCTCTGCCTCCACCATTGCCCACCCTCCATCAAATTAACCAGCAATTCGTTCTACTTTGCAAATACCTCACGAATCTCTTACTCTTCTCCGTGCTCACGGCCGTCACAATAGCCTGCAGCTACCGTGCAGCTGCCTCCTATCTGATCATCCTGCATCTCCTTTTGCCCACTTCCAATCTACTTACCGTTCCGCAGCCTGGGTAATCTTTCAGAGATGCCAATCTGGTCATGTCAATCACAGACTTAGAATTCTTCAGTGGTTTCACACTGACCTTAGAAGGACAAAGTGAAACGTCTTTAGCATGACTTGGAAGGCCCTACAAGATCGTGCACTAATCTACATCTCCAGTCTCATCTCTCCCCACTTCATCCTTATGTCCACTTTAGCTAGAACGCACTCCTTTCAAATTCTCTACACACTCTATTCTTTGTGTATCATACTCCTTTTCATTTCCAGGCTTTCACACCTGTCATTTTTTACCTGGAGTACTATCTGCTCCTATAGTCCATATCCTGAGCTAGCTAACTCCTACACATCAGTAAGATCTCAACTAAGAGAGGTCATTTCCTCCCTCAGCCCCTCAAACTAGGTTAGAACTCTCTGGCAACTAGATCAGGGCTTAATACATAGCAGGTTCCTAAAAATATTTGTTGACTTGTTTGAATAGGAAAAAAGATTGAGTAGGTATGGAGGGCTTTGATAGACAAGCAGTCAATAAATACTGTAAATGAATGAGTTAATAAGTAAAAAGAAGGAAGATTTGTTTAACAAACAATTCTATTTTTCCCCAGTAAAATATTAGCGCATTTGTGGAAATAATATTGGATACCATTCTACAAAGAGGAAAATATCCAGTTTCAAGATTAGGAGGCAGTGTTTAAAATGAGTTTCAATCTATAACATTTCACTAAAACAATCATGTAAGAAAAATTTATGAACAACTATATGTCAACAAATTAGGTAATCTAGAAGAAACGGACAAATACCTAAAAATCACACAAATTACCAAACCGACTCAAGAGAAAATAGAAAATCTCAATAGACCTGTAAACAAGTACAAAGATAGAATCTGTTTCAAGACTGTCCCAACAAAGAAAAGTCTAGAACCAGATATAGCTTCACTAGTGAATTTTACCAAACATTTAAAGAACAATCAACACCAATCCTACTCAGACTCTTCCAAAAATAGAAGAGGAGAAACATTTTCTAACACGTTCTATTAGATCAGCATTACCCTGTTACCAAAGCCAGCAAAGGTACTACAAGAAAATTACAGACTAACATTGCTTATGAATACAAATGGAAAAATTCTCAAGAAAATAATAGCAAATCAAATCCAACAGTACATTAAAAGCATTATACAGTAGGACCAAGTGGGATTTATCCTAGGAATGCAAATGTGGTTCCATACAAGAAAATCAATGTAATGCATCATGTTAACAGAACAGAGGGGGAAAAACCACATGATTAGCTCAATAGATGCAGGAAAAGCATTTGAAACAATTCAACATGCTTTGATGATAAAAATACTCAAGTAAGTAGGAGTAGAAAGGAACCTCCCTAACATGATAAAGGGCATTTACCAAAACCTATGCTAATATCATACTCAGTGATGAAAGACTGAAAGCTTTCAACCTGAAAAACAAGACAACAATGTGTGCTTTTTGAAACCAGAGAGAGGTGGTAGTTGAACAACACTGTAACTGCACTAACTGCCCCTGAATTGAATACTTTCAATTAGTTAACCGTATACTATATGAATTTTACATCAATAAAGAGATTCATTTAGTAAATCATTTGTTCATTTTGGTTTACTGATCTACAAACTATTTCCTATGTTTACAGGATAATTAATGAATAAGACTTATAATTTAGAGATTACATTATAACACTGTGAAAAACAAACTTCCTTTTCTTTTTTTTAATGTTTTATTTATTTTTGAGAGAGAAAGAGAGACAGCATGAGTAGGGGAAGGTCAGAGAGAGAGGGAGACAAAGAATCTGAAACAGGCTCCAGGCTCTGAGCTAGCTGTCAGCACAGAGCCCGATGTGGGGCTCAAACCCACGAACCGTGAGATCATGACCTGAGCTGAAGTTGGACACTTAGCTGACTGAGCCACCCAGGTGCCCCAGCAAATTATATTTTCAATTCAAGATAAATGCGAGATAAAAGTCGAACTAAATGCCTGAAAACTACTCTTAGGAGAGCCTGCAAATTTTCCTCTCAAAATTAGGACGTTCTTTTAAAAATTGGAAGCCAGATAAAAACAAATCTCAATGTTAAATCCACATGGGATTTAAAAGTTAACTCCCGTTGCAGCTGCAGCAAAGCACACATAACTGCAGTTAACGTGTTTATTTTTCCTTCAGTGATGTTTGAAACAGTGTTTCTCAAACTGGGAACTTGTTAGAAATACAAACTCTCAGGTCCCGCCCCAGACCTCCAGGATCAGAAAATCTGGGATTGAGGGCCAGGAGTCTATTTTAATAAGCCTTCCAGGTACACACTCAAGATTGAGAACCACTAGTTAAAACCAACTGCACAAGTCATGGCCAACCGAGGCTGCTACAAGCATATTCTTACCAGACAGTGTGGTGTCATAACCGTTGTGTTATTTCTTCTAGGTGTTACTGTGTCAGCTTGGAATACCTGTGAATTATCACTATGAAAAAAAAAAAGAAAACATTTGAAATCCATTACAAGAACTTTTTTTTAAAGAACTAAGATTTCAAATACTTAAGCAACAATTCCATTAATGTAAATGGCTTTTTTTGGGGAGACAGCTGTGCAGATGGATAAACTGCAATATGCGTGCATGCTTGTGCACACACAGCCTTAGCTGGCTGAGCCTAAACAAGTGTCAGTGTAAGGGAAGAAATTCTCAAGCACGCTGCTTTACCTCTAATCACGCTACCAAGAATAAGTAGAATTTATTGCGGCCTTGGAAATGAAATCATTTTGTAGGTAAACCTGTAACTGACTTACATTTATAACTGAAGCTACCACACGCAGTACCAATTCCCTCTTGACTGTGAAGCTTTCACGTCAACAAGAGGGACAACCAGTAGCAGAAGGCGATAGAACTGAAATTTTCACAGATGTCTTTTGTTGGACCTACTTGGTATTAAAATATTTTTAAATTAGTTGCACCCACTCGAAACATTAAGAGGGCGTCACATAAGTAATCCAGATTCCAGATTTCTAGCTTCTCTTGAAAAATCTGCAAGCTGTGGCCACACCAGGCCATGTTCCCATGTGGCAACCACAGGCCAAAGCCAAGCAAGCGCTGCCTGCAGAAGGTGGGGCTCGTCTTCCTCCGCTCTGACGGTGCCTCGGCCTCATTTGGGATCCTGAATACGCCTTCTCCTTTTTATGTCTTCTTTTTCTTTTAACTTTTTATTTTGAAGCAGTTGAAAACTCACAAGAAGTTGCAAAACTACGGAGGGTTCCCATGTACCTTTCACCCAGGTTTCTCCAATGAGGATAAAGGTCATTGTTACATTTCCTTCTTTTTTGCCACATCCACTCAGGTGCTAAGTCTTTTCAGTTTTGCCTCCGCAGTCTCTCATATAGCCATCTTAGTTTTTCAGGCTCCTTGCCAAAAACCAATTTGAAGCCTTTTTACTTTCCTACGGACTTCACAATAGTCTGATTTGTCACCTCATCTCAGTTTTGGCCCTGCCACAATCTACCTAACAGACTACCAGATCGCATTCCTGAAGGACAGCTTGCTCTCCTGCTCACAACCTTCAGTAACTCTCTGTATCACCGCGGGCTGAATTCAATGACATTCTTTACTACAACATTCAAAGCCCTCCACAGTTTAGCTGTAGGCTTTTGGATTTGATGGACTAGTAAAATTTCAAAACAAAATCTTGGCACATACAGTTGCTACCATCTTTCTCTTGCCAAGTAAGGTTATTTTTAAAAAATTCCATCATCTAACAACACCATCACTCCATTTACAAGAGGACATTTAAAAATTTTTTTTAATGTTTTATTTATTTCTGAGAGAGAGAGAGAGAGAGAAACAGCATGAGCAGGGGTGGGTCAGAGAGAGAGGGAGACACAGAATCTGAAGCAGGCTCCAGGCTCTGAGCTAGCTGTCAGCACAGAGCCTAACGTGGGCTTCGAACCCATGAACAGCGAGATCATGACCTGAGCTTAAGCTGGACGCTCAACTGACTGAGCCACTCAGGTGCCCCAAGAGGACATTTTTTTGGAGAGGTGCAGAGGGCTGGAGAGGGAGAGAGGGAGATAGGAAGACAGAGAGAGACAGAGAGAAAGTGAGTCTTAAGCAGGCTCCATGCCCAGCATGAAGGCTGATGCAAGGCTCGATCCCAGGACACGGGGATCATAACGCAAACTGAAATCAAGAATCAGATACTAAACTGACTGACCCACCCAGGCACCCCTAAAATGACATTTTTGTACTTTAAAAAGTTATAACTTACAATCTCAGGGTGAAGTGCAGTCCTGCCCAGGAAAGGACAATTGGCCAACTACATAACAATTTAAGTACTCTGCACCTTTTCAAAAACATGGGTTGGTGAAAATGTCACCTGGGATCAACGCTATTCAGCAGATGAATACCTGGGAGCCAGTGAGCCAGGTAGAGCTGACCAGCTATCTGGAATACACCTATGTTTTCCTGTCTCCAGGCTTGTTTCATACACTTGGAATGCTGACCCAGCTCTCCAGCTCCCCTCTTCCCATCTGTATATCCTATCGATCCATCAGAACCCATCTAATATGCCTCCTCTCCAAGAACATTTTCTTTATCCCTCATCAGTCCTGCTGTCATTTCTCACTCCCTTCTTTGAGTCTCTCTAGCACTTTCTTTCCCTCCCTAAGCACAGACCTTACTCTATCATGTATTTAAATCTTTTGATTATTTATGTTCCCTATTAAATGAAAAGCTTATTGAGTCATGATACATCTTTGCAGCATGGTGATTTGTATATAACAGGTAGTAACTCAATATTTCATGAAAGGATATGTGGCAATTATATTCTCCCCTAAATTTTTGTCAGTCAATTTTAATAAGACTATAACTGAAAGGAATCACATATTTCAATTGGTATGAGTTACTCAACATGAATTCATAAAATCCTAGGTGGTACCTACAACTGAGTTAAATGCTACAATTTAAAAAAGCAAAGGCATGGGGCGCCTGGGTGGCTCAGCCGGTTAAGCGTCCGACTTCGGCTCAGGTCATGATCTCACAGTTTGTGGGTTCGAGCCCTGCGTCGGGCTCTGTGCTGATAGCCAGCTCAGAGCCTGGAGCCTGTTTCAGATTCTGTATCTCCATCTCTCTGACCCTCCCCTGCTCACGCTGTCTCTCTCTCTCTCTCTCAGAAATAAAAACATTAAAAAAAATTTTTTTAAATAAAAATAAAAAAGCAAAGTCACTATAACTAGATATATGTTCAATGCACCACATCAAACGATCAGTAAGCAGCTCTGTCTAAATATCTAAGCTATAAGATGTTTATGCTAGTTATATTCCCAAAGCAATCATTTGCTATGGCCACTACTGTCCTTCCAGGTTTGTAAGAATTTAATAAGCCAGATGGTTGGCAAATTTCTTCTGCAAAGGGCCTGACAGTAAACATTCTGGACATACAATCTCTGTGGCAGGTATTCAACTCTGTCATTGTAGTAGAAAAGTAGCCATGGACAATAAGTGAGCAAATGGGCATGGCTATGTTCCAATAAAACTTTATTTACAAAACCAAGTGGCAAGCTGGATTTGGCCCACAGGCAGTAGTTTGACTTTCAAACAGTTCCAACGCACGGTCAGCCTAGAGGCATTTACAGGGGGAAGGCACTGGCAGAAATCCTGTAACTTACTAATTCTCACGGGGCCAGAGAAGTAAAAGAAAAAAACTACTACATTTAAATAAGGTTACTGACACCTGCAGTGAAGTCAGCCAAGTAGATGGCTAAAGGGTAAAAAGAACCAAGAGGTTCAAAACTTTTGGCAACAGTATTTTTATTAATATAAGATGTACACAAAAAAGTGCAGAAACTCTTATTTAAAAACACTTAATACTTATCTTAAAGAGTTGATATTTAAGGGACCAATTCTGCAAATGCTGGTGCAAGAGTGATTGTGTTTATACACAGGAAGCATCAAGCAAAATTGGAAAACTACTTAAAAGAAGTGCAACAATATTTAGTGAGCAGTGAAAAGAGGCAAGGCAACAAGTATTAGAGGCTCAATTTAGTGAGAAAGTGAGGGAAGTGAGGAGTGTACATATGCAACCAAAAAGAATGGAGGTGAACTTGAATTCAACTAAGGCCTAGTGTAATTCTACTCCAAATTGTTCTCCCTTCCGTGTCACTTCCCTGACCACACCCTAAACTGGCCACAACAGAACAAAATCTGTCCTCAAGAGATCATTTGGTCAAGTTCCCTGACTTTAGGCATGTCATGTATTATCTTTAGGTTACTTCTTTTTGACAGACAAGAGTCCCTGGACTTGGTCCACCTTGTAGTTTGTCTTTAACTCCTACTACATAAATAGGCAATTGCCACTCACCTTTCTGTACCAATTTTGCTTCATGCATCATATTAGCCACAGAATTCAACAGTGTAACCATATTCTCATATGATAAAAACTTTAGATCCTTTGCAGAACAAAACAAAGCATGAAGGGATAACTGCCATCACTCTTCTGGTTTCTAAGACAGTTTGTAACCTGTTTTTTCATTTCATAAAGGCTTCCAGTAAAACCAACATTCTCCTCAAGTGGTTTGTTCTAGCAGAATGGGTCCACAGCAATTCATTTTTTCATACAATAGGATTAGAGTCGATCCTGAATTTATAGAATGTTATTTTCAGCCCAACATGCACAGCTGCCTCCCTTTATTTTTCTATCTGCCTTTTAAAAAAAGATAATGTATTCTTTTTTTGGTTAATCTGAGTTTGCATTTCTTTTTGGAACAGTATATTCTCCTTTACCTCAGAAGACCAGAAAGTTGAGTTTAGTTAGTTAATAAGCTTAAAAGTTGATGAGTAGTGGACAAATCACTAGCTTAGGAATCAGGAGACACAGGTTCCTAGTACTGGCCCTACTATGTCATGTTAGAGACTTATGGGCCTCAGTTTCCTCATATTTTTTTTTTTAATTTTGTTTTATTTATTTCTGAGAGAGAGAGAGACAGCATGAGCAGAGGAGGCTCAGAGAGAGAGGGAGATACAGAATCCAAAACAGGCTCCAGGCTCTGAGCTGGCTGTCAGCACAGAGCCCGATGTGGGGCTCGAACCCACGAACCATGAGATCATGACCTGAGCCGAAGTCGGACACTTAACCGACTGATCCACCCAGGTGCCCCATCCTCATATGTTAAATAAGGAGGGTAGATCTGGTCTCTGAGTTCATTTCTAACAGTTGTGATTTATACCTATCAATTAGTATGATACTAGCAAAAGGGGGGAGCAAAGTTACTAACACAGGAAGTGACTGCATTTTTCAAACACTTACAATACTGATAAAACTTTATGATACAAGGATGAGAGATCCAAGATCTCACTTTCAAATCCTATTTTAAGAAATTATATGCTTGTGTCATGCCAGATTTTGGACATGTGCAGGAAATACAGTTAACCATCAGGATGGTGTTTTTAAATCTTATGTTTTTCATTATCAGTTCTGAGGATCCTTCCCCCCGCTTTTTTTTTTTTTTTTTTTTTACAGGGGAGAGGGGCAGAGGGAAAGGGAGAGAGAGAATCTTAAGCAGTCTCCATGAGATCATGACCTGAGCCAAAATCAAGATTTGGACACTTAAGCGACTGAGCCACCCAGGCACCCTTCTAAGGAGGCTTTTTTTTAACATTTCCCCTCCAATTACTCTCTCTTGGAAATTCTTACAAAATTTTTGTATGTATAGCTGTGGTCTTGTGCATAAAAAGAGCAAGATTTTTTTCACCGTCCCCCTTTCCCCTCACCAAGAACCAAGTTGGGGACAGTATCGGCCACCGAGGATGCAACATTTATGAGATCATGTTTCTGTGGTACCTAAACTTTTTGTTCAAACAAAAACTAGGTGTAAAAAAAAGGTCCAAGCTTATTTGCTTGGCGACCATTTCCATTAGCTGGAGGTGAAGGTCAGCGGTGACAAAACAGATGAGAGAATGAGAGTCATCAACAGAAGATCTGGAGGCAAGGGTGGGCAATACTCAGTTTTTTCCAAGGAGGGGGTAAGAGATGGGATGAGGTTAGAAAAGGTCTTGTCCGGGGCGCCTGGGTGGTTCAGTCGGTTAAGCTTCCGACTTCGGCTCAGGTCATGATCTCACTGTTGGTGAGTTGAAGCCCCACGTCGGGCTCTGTGCTGACAGCTAGCTCAGAGCCTGGAGCCTGTTTCAGATTCTGTATCTCCCTCTCTCTCTAACCCTCCCCTGTTCATGCCGTCTCTCTCTCTCAGAAATAAATAAAACAAAAAAAAAAGAAAGAAAAGAAAAGGTCTTGTCCACAACAATAGGTTGCTGCTTTGGGGTCTTTGTGGACTGTTATTAGAGGACGTTCAGGTTCACACGTGTGTCAACCTTAGGGTAGGTGTGCGCTCTCCCTCCTGCCAGCCCATCCCACTCCTCCCCAAGGCTGAGGGTGAGGTCTCCAGCCAACAGGAACACGGGAGATAGCTGCAGAACCTCGATGAAGACAGGGATGGGAATGCTATCGGAAGTCACTTTCCCCCAACTCCCGCCACCCACCCCCTGCTATCTCAATCCTGCTCACCCAAGCCCACTGATCAAAGGGGCACTGTTGGATCTTCTCAGCCTGTCGTCTGTGGTGGCTGAACTCGGCACCAGCTCCAAGTCTAGGTCCATTTTCTCTTCCTCCATGTCCATGTCGAGGAAGAAGCTATTGCTCGGTTCGGAGTTCTCAAGGTTTTCTGGCTCCCATTCACACAGGGACAAGTCAACTGGGTGAGGAGATGCAGGGAGAGAGGAAAAGGGGAAAAAGAGAAGAAACCACCTTTAAACGAGTGCTCACCTCTGCAGCCCTACCATTCCTAACACCGGTGGGCACAAAGTGTGGCAAGACCGGCTCGGACCCCCGAACCCCACAAGCGCGGAGTCCCTAACGCTGAGGAGATACTCCACCTCCAAGTCTATCGGGAAAGGGAGGAATTTTTCTTAGTTACCTCAGCGAACTGCCCTCCCTTTTCCCTCGGCCAAGGAAACCCCAGGTAACCCTTTCCAGCCCAAGCAAAAACTACAACCTGCCGCCTTCGAGAATCAGTCCGGCACCGCCCCTCCGCACAAGCGCGCGATGGGCGGCCCGCCGTCGCACACTTATTACGTAAGCAACGCGCATTAATCAGGGCGCTTTTCTCAGCCTTGCCGCGGGGCGCACGCGCAGTCCCAGGGGCCGCCTATTTACCCTGCTCCCGAGCGTCTCTTCTCTCTTCCGAGTGGCGTTTCGCTGCGCTTATTCGTCTCCTATGTGAACCGGGGGATGGTTTCTTTTCCCTCTGTTTAGGAAAGAAAGGGTGGGGAGGAATAAGGTGTAGAGGAGTGCCGTCTTTTCTACACCATGTCTAATATAATATTCCATTTTCTCAGTTTTGATTAGCCCATTATCCCTTTATAATTGAGACCAATGGTTACCTCTGTCCTGTTACAGCCAACACTACACATTTGTAATTTTAAAAAATGTTCTACGTCTGCGGGGGGGGGGGGGAGCAAACAACCCGAGACCTGCAACGTGCCCCCAAAGTGATGCCGGTAGGGCGCTAATCCAATTGAACCAATTGTGCAGACGAATCATTGTTTTACGTGTGGTTTCATTGTTTTTTTTTACCATAATCACAAGTGTGTATTTTTACACTAAATAAAATTTAGCTTCTCAAACCTATTCCTCTAAGAAAATGATTTGAGTTACAGAAGCTTATTTGCTTAAAACAAGTATCTCAGAATTTAGGATTCATCCAAATCAGTGTTTCCATTTAATAACGCTGTCATGGCTCAAATATGTTAAGAATTGCTCTTTTAGAAATTTTTAGCACCAGTTTAATGAGCTACACCGAGTACTGAAATCCTAACTCCATCCTAACAATTTCGTAAAACCACACCTTTTAAGAACCATATAGAAAACTGGCAGAGAAGGCAAGTAAAACTACTGAAATGAGAGTTATTAATTAAAATAGTCACTTCATGGTATAGCACTTAAGAATTTAAAAAATGTCTTCGCGTATTTATCTCATTTGGTTCAATCATGAACCCTGCTCAGCTAATTACTGTGAACTTAATGGGATTATCCTGAAACAGTTCGTGACAAGTTACATGAATGATCATAATCATTCTTCATTCATTCTGAGACCAGAGTAAGAAAAACTTAATTATATCACCAGACATAAGGATGATTTGGAGTCTCCTGATGAAAGACAGGTTAACAATAGCTACCATTTTTTATGCACTTAATTATATGCCAGGTACTGTCCTAAACACTTAAATGTTTATACATTCTGAGAGAGAGAGAGAGAATGCAAGCATGTGCATGTGGGGAAGGAGCAGAGAGAGAGAGGGAGAGAGAATCCCAAGCAGGCTCTGTGCTGTCAGCGCATAACCAAATGCAGGGCTGATCCCATGAACCATGAGATCATGATCTGGGCAAAATCAAGAGTTGGAGCCTTAAGCGACTGAGCCACCTAGGTACCCATAAGCACTTTAAATATGTGATTGCATTTAATGCTTACAGTAACTCTGTGAGGTAGGCACCATCAAAATGCCCATTTTTCAAAGGAGGAAACTGAAGCCCAGAGGGGTTACTCAAACGACAACTGCTAAGTGGCAATGCCAAGATTCTTCTGCCCTTCTATTTAAGTGAAAAGACAGATGAGTACGTCTGGATATTTCTCTGGATACTATCTCTGTACTCATAAACACTTGATAAATCTTATTTAAAATTTTTTTTAATGTTTATTATTATTGAGACAGAAACACAGCATGAGTGGGGAAGGGGCATAGAGAGAGGGAGACACAGAATCCGAAGCAGGCTCCAGGCTCTGAGCTGTCAGCACAAAGCCCAATGTGGGGCTGGAACCCACGAACTGTGAGATCATGACCCGAGCCGAAGTAGGACGCTCAACCGACTGAGCCACCCAGGCGCCCCTTGATAAATCTTATTTAAATTATTTTATGAATACACGCAGGTTTAAATAACCTGCCATTCAGAGCTATCTTGTAAAGTAGGCAAGTCATTCTATTTTACAGTTGATAAAATTCCAGAGATATTAATGGCACAGCATTAGGTAGCAGTAGAATCTGAGCTGGTACCAAGGTCTCCTGAAAGCCACTGTTAAAGATCCCAAGGTACCTGGAAAGTTTATGAAAGATGGCAGTTAAACCTGAGTAACGTAGGGAGCACCTGAGTGGCTCAGTTGGTTAAGTGCCCAACTTCGGATCAGGTCATGATTTCACGGTCCGTGAGTTCGAACCCAACATGGGCTCTGTGCTGACAGCTCAGAGCATGGAGCCTACTTCTGATTCTGTGTCTCCTTCCCTCTCTGCCCCTCCCCTGCTCTCTCTCTCTCTCAAAATGAATAAATATTTAAAAAATTATTTTTTAAAAAGAAACAAGTAGTACAAAAACAATTCTGTATACTATAGTGGCAAACACAACATTTAAAGAAATTATTTTTACTTCTTGCCATTTCTATGCATACATTATTATACCAACCTTGCTGTGTTTTGTGATCAGCTCCTGCTGTTCCATAGCATTATGCCATGATCTCAAATTGCTACTTTGCTTAGCTCCATACCTTGCCGCTTATGCTACTTCTGTCTTTGAATGTCCCACTCTGCTGCCATCTGTGCCAGGCCTCTTCATTATAAAAGGTGACCCACAAATATGTCATAATCAGTTGTTTAGGTTACCAGTTGTTATGGCAACTTTTAAGCAATTGCTTAACCCTTAGTTATCAAAAGCGTAAGTCAAAGAAAAGTTGAGCCCAAGACCACAGGCTACAACCTCCCCCAGCCCCCCCCCCAAGATTTCCATGAAGTAAAAGAAACTAGGTAGGCAGGAATGATATGAATTGAACCTCAAAATAATGGCCAAGGTAGCGTCCATCTCCTCACATATCCTTGAGTTTCTCCTAATTGTTAAGCTCTTGAAAGTTAGCAATTCTACTCAATTGTTGGATTCAGAGTTAGGGACTCCACACGTGGTCAGCAAATGATTGTTCAGTAGTTATTGTGAACAATAGAATGTACTTTTTTTTAAGGGAATGAGGGAGTTGCTGAGACTTTGAGATAAAAAGAGATACATAAATTGATCAAAAACAGAGTTTGCTTTTCTAATCCAGTTGGCAGAAAAATACAGGTAAGCAAACGTTCCATAAATGCTTCAGAAACTCTGTATTAGAAGCAGTACATATTAACATTGAGAAATAAAATGATTAGGCTTGGCAGGCTTAATATGGGACAACCAAATTGAAGAGGCGGGTAAAACTATTTTTGCTAAATTTTGAAACCAATTTCATAACTATTAAATTTCCTTTATTTCTTTGTATGTATGATTATCGCAATACAATGCCATCTTTATCCTAGGGTCATTCAAGTAGTGAGGATTACATGAATTAGTATTTCTAAAGCTCTTAGAATTGGACTTAGCACGGTAACCGCTATGCAGGTGTTTGTTAAGTAAAATAAATAATTTCAGGCCTCACACATGCCGAATGGCTATTGTTAGGGTCTCCATAAATCCTAGAAAGAAAAAAATACATTCTGGTTCTGCTAATTGTTCTTCAGGACTTTTCTTAATATCGTTGAAGCTAACAGTACTTGTAAAATGGAGGTGAGTGCTTGCCACTCGCTATAGGAACTTTCATTATTTTTTTCACTTCCCTTTTGTCTAGTGCAACCAAATGGATGATCTGAAAGAGAAATCAGCCCCTCCAAAGACCAACAAAATCAAGGGACTTAAGAAACGGAGCAGGGATCACAGAGGTCGGAGCAAACAAACTGGGAGAGAAAAACCATGAAAAGCGCAAGTTTCTATTTCCCTTGAATACTGACCCAAACTCCTTCTGAAAGCTGATGCTCCAATGTCTCCAAACTATTGGTTCTTTTCAAAATCAGGCGCCAGGGTCCCCGGGCCAATGCCATAGAGGAAGGCGCCAGGCCCCCTGGAAACGCTCCTCCCCTTTGGAGGAGGTTTGCGGGGCGGGGCTCCCACGCATGCTCCGTGCCCGCGGGCTCATTGGCGCGGCCGCCGGGCGCGTGCGCAAGACCCGATAGGTCCCCGGACGCGGAAGACTTGGCCCCGTGGAGGTTCCCACTTCTGAAGCGTGGGAGGCGGAAGAGGCGGCAGGTTGTAGATTTTTGGTCTTGGCCCCAAGGGATTCCCCCGGGCCATCAGAACCCGAGAGAGGAAGAGGAGGCACCGCGGCGGCGGCTGAGGGGCCGAACCCCCCACCTGTCTTCCAGGCGGGGAGGGGGGGTAGGGAGGGGAGAAGCACCCCTCACCGGGCTGAGGAGCCCCCGGGACCGGGTCCCAGAGCATGGGGGGCTGGACCAGGTCCCCGAGCATGGGGAGCTGGAGCCGTGGAGGCCGCCCGGCCGGGCCCTGCCCGACTGTCAGCTTTACGGTGGTGGTAGCGCTGCCCGGGCAGCTGCGGTGTCTGTAGCCCGGCCCCACTTGAGGTCGTCGGCCGAAAGATAGCAACATGAGATCCGCCGCTGCCTAGTTTCCTCCCCCTCCTCTTCTCCCTCCGTCCGCCTCTTTTTTCCTTCTTCCCCATACTTCATCTTTTCCTTTCCCTCCCTCGCCCTCTTTTTCCTCCACTCTGCCCCTCCTTCTTCCCCTCCGTCCTCCCCCTTTCCCCGATTCTGTCCTCCGTGTACCCTCTTTGCTTTCCTGTTTTTCCATCTATCCCTTTTCCCTTCCTCTTTTCCCTCGATCCCTCTCTTCTCTATCTTCTTCCCTTTATTCAGTCACTCTCCACCACCACCTCCCTCTCACTACCATCTCCCCTTCCTCTCCTCGTCGTCAGCCTCCCTTCCTCCTCCTCATCCTCCTTCCCCCCTCCTCCTCCTTTCCTGCTTTTCTCCGCCCCCGCCCCCGCCCCCAAGCCTCCGCCCCTTAGCCCCCGCCCCCAGCTGCCAGTCCCCAGCAGCTCAGTCCTGCAGTGAGAGCCTTGGGAGTCCATAGTTAAGCACCAGGGACTGAGCACTGCCCGCTGTGCCTGCCTGCGAGTCTCCGACATGGCTCAGGAGAAAATGGAGCTGGACTTTGAGGCTGACACACCTGATGGGGGCGCCCTGAGGAGATCGAGCAGCGCTCCCCTGATCCACGGGCTCAGGTGAGCCGGGTTGGGGACGGTGAAGTAGGGGGTTCAGGGGCTCCTCGAGTCTCTGTAAGCAATCTTCCTTCCTGAAAGTGCGACTTGGAGCTCATGTGGGTTGTCCAAACTTGGGGGGGGCGGGGGGGGGACTTGTTTGCTTGGCAGTGACTAGGGTGCCAAGGTGGGGTTGACAGTTTGACCCCAGACTCTGGGAAGTGTGGGGAAAATGAAGCCCTCTTTACCTGGGGCTCTGTTGGCCCACTGTGAAAGGAACTACAAGAAGCTTCTGGCTCTTCTAACAGGTTGCTTGCACTGCCTAATTTACACCACTGAATGTCAGACAGAAGCCCCTGGAACTAGACTTGCAACTTGATACCTGTCTCTAAGAGCTGCTATTTCTAAGCTCGGTTTAGGAACCCTGGCATTAACAGAGCATTTACTTTAATAAATCACAATTTATCTAATAACTTGTACTCAAGTGGCGTGTTCATGGCACATTAAGCGATTCAGATTTGTCATAATGTTTTCAGATCCTAAAACTGCCTGAAATGCATTCCAGTGAATTAAAAAAGGGGGGGGTGTCCTGTAGCTTAGATCAGTTAAAGAAAACAATGTTTTAGAAAACAATGGAAAGAATCAACCCTTGAATTTAGTGGTAGGGTCTTGTATTGTCATGCGAATAAGTCACCAGAGGGTCTATTTTAAGGTAGAATCTTGTGATAGGGAAGGTTAGGTTGGCAGACCTGAGCCTATTACATTTCACTCTTAGAAGTAGACAATTCATCTTAGTAGAGAGCTAATTTGCGAGACCCTGTAGAAATGGAATTAGTCCAAAAAAAGGGGATGGGAGTAGAATTAGCCCAAATCATTAATCAAGCACAGTGAAGGCAAAGAGATGGGTAATCCTTGTCTGTCAAACTGTGATTACAATATCTGTATTTTGGGGGGGAAATGGATTTACTTATTTTCTTTTACTAAATTTTGAAACTGTGGGGGCGTTGGGGTGGTTCTTTGCTTTCCTAATGCCGTCCTCAGCCCTACAATCATTTTTGATACTATAGGAATACATTAGTCTTCGGGTTCGTCTTTTTAAATCTGGTAAGCAAAAGCAGTTGCTAGGGGTCAGGGCGATCTTGCTGGCCTGCATTTAGACTATTGTAGAAATAACACACTGTTGTTGTTGTTTTATTCGGGGTCGAAGTAACTACTTGGAAGGTAGCATGATGTGACAGAAGAAGGGGTGAGACTAGACCTTCCCACTTTTCTCCCTAATTGTGATCACGAGTGTCAGTTTTCTCATTTAAAACTTAGGAAAGCTGGATTAGGTGATCCCAGCGGTCCCTTGGAGCCTAATTCAGTTCAGTCCTGAAAATCCTTTTTGCCCTCTTATTATGGGCATGGCACTCTGCTAGGCAGTGCAGGGAGATTGTACAGAGATGAACAAAAGACCTCTGCCAAGGAGTTTGAGACACACGCACACTTGTCTTTAATAAAAGGTGAAGTCGGTATCTCCACAAGAATCTCATTTCCCATTGTGCTCTCTGGACTCGAAGGAGGGAATGATTGCGTTAGGGTTGTGGATGGAAGAGAGGCTTCATGGAGGGTACTGCCCTGAAATGGGTGCTCAAGGAGAGGAAGGATTTTGGCCGATGGTGGTGGGTGGGAGGTAGGACCCTGGAGACAGAGGAGGCAACATGAACAAACCCCCAGGTACGTTTATTGAGCTGCACAGCAGGTTCAATGGTAGTACATATTTAGGGCAGTAGTGGGAGACATGCTATCTGGGCTCACACTGTAGAGCAGGGTGCCCCAGCCCTTCTCCCCATCATGGCGCACATAGCAAGCAGTAATGTTTTGGTCCTCCGGGGTAAACAGATGAGGCCACTCATGTCTGGTGGGAACCGGTTGGGGGGTGTGCGCTCTGGCCAGAGGCAGCTGGAAACAACCAGCCTGGAGCCCCGCCCCATACCTCTCCTAGCTGCCCCCCAACCACTGAGGCGGTCAGTATCTGGGCGAACCTGTGAGCCACAGCACGCCAGTACCGAAGCGCAGAAGAAGTGGGTGAGGAGTTTATTCGTTGTAAGGAGTGTGGGACCATCGAAGATCTCACTGTTAACTAGAGAGGCGACATTAATATGGTTAAAGGATATCTTAAACGAGAAGACATTAATAATTTTATTTTTATTTTTCAGTGATCTTTCACAGGTTTTCCAGCCTTACACATTTAGAACTCGGAGGAATAGTACGACGATTATGAGCCGTCATACCCTGGTAAGTATAGAAGTAAGTATTCCGAGTGGTATGGATTGGGGTAAATACTCCCAAATGTAGTTCGTTCCTAAGATGATGGGCTATACACCATTGTTGGCTAAAAGGGAAAAAAAAATTTTACCTCCCTTGCTCATGCTGCGGCCCTTGTCAGATCTGGTTCAGATTTTTTCTTCGCTGTGGGACTTTGTGTTTTTAAAATTATTGGGCGTTTTTTGTCACTGCTTGCATCATGGTTGGGGGGGGGTCAGGATTAACTTCTAAATATAGCTGAGAAAAATGGTCTCTCTTTGTCCCAGGAAGCAAAAATTGTGTCGACATGAGCCAAGTATTTCTGACACTTATCTGTTGGACAATGCTATTTATCCAAAGTGAAATCTCCTTTACAATGCTTGTATTTATATTCTCGGTAGAGTTGCTAATTGTGACCACTCTAAATAGCCAGAGTGGTCAGGGGTCACCCTATTAGTTGGTCGCATTGGGAGAAATTATGATGAGGTTTTTAATATAGTAGCTCTTCACACGCGGAGCCCACTTAGCCAGTAGCTGCAGCGCTCTGGAAGACATCCGAGATGTAAGCAAGCCGGCCTCTGAATGGCTGCGCTAGATTTCCAGTCTGTGCACAAAGGTTCATCAGTTTATTTATAGGAGAGCCTCTCTGACCTCTGAATCATCTAAAATTTATGCACAATTATAATAAGCTTCCGACTCAGTAGAGTACGAGAAGCAGCAAATCAAAAGAGGTACATTTGGGTTTAAGGTATACTAATAGCTGCTAGCCAGGGAGGAGAGGCGAAAACTGAAAAGCAGTTTTATGTATTTAACAATAAATAAATAAGGGCTCAGAGCCTGTTAATAGCCCCCGAGGGTCTCACTGGCACTGAACTGTAAAACATTTGATGTCCTTAAGGATACCCGGGTCACTAACCTCTTCTCAAATTATAGTATCCTCTGTGCCTCTGTGGTATTCTGCATGTTACCAAGCCCTTTCGCACTTTTCATTCTCATAGCAACCCCCTGTGGAGTAGGCAGGGCCAAAGATGTTTCTACCAGCTCACAGAGGCAGCAGCTAAGACTCAGCTGATAGAAAGGACTTGCTCAGAATCACACAATTGGTAAGTGGCAGAGCTGGGATTAGAATAGAGATGTCAGGGCCATTGTGCTTCGTAAAATCTGTTTAAGAAAGGAGAAAAAAAAACCCTACTTTTAAGGAAGATTTCCAGCTGAAGTGGCTAGACATACTTAAAGGGGGAAATGTTAGCTGTCCAGAGGTTTGATTCACCTCACCTTCCCAGAGGATACTGGAAAACAGAACGGCTTCATTTTGCTGTGGAGATGAAAAACGTTTCTGCTTGTTACACAGCTATGCTCCTGATATCAGCAGTATAGCGAAGAAGGGAAAATGAATTCGCCTCTGTACACTTGACTTGGCTCTTTTCTAAGATGTGGAAATTCCTTATCAACTCCTTTTCGGCTCCTCGCTCCCTACTCCCTGATAACTGCGTCTTGCTTTGGCTGCGCCAAAATACCTGTTGCGCTGAAGGGGCCACGTTGGCTCACTGCTCTTTGTCGATCCTTACGTTGTCTTCCCTCCATCCCCTTCTCCCTTTGAGCTTCCTGGTTTGGGAAGCCTTCCGGAGCCCCCTTCGGGTACTTCTGTCATCATGGATTACACCACATGTGTTCAATCACAGTGTCCTCTATAAATTTTAATACCCTTACCTGCGTCTCGGATTAACCTGCAAAAAGCAAGGTGTTGAGTGACACGGAAAGGAGAGCGCGAGGCAAGAAGACCTGCGGGAGTTGTCTGCGCAGGATCTGACAGCCCACGAGGTGTAAATGCCAAGGGGAAGGAGCACTCCGAGGGACTGACCTTCTCTTTCCTAGCGGCCAGGGGAGAAGTGCTGCTTTTATCACAAGTAGGGAAATTTCAAGGAATTGGTCATCTGAAGGGCCGGGAGATCGATTCCCTCTGGGCATGTTGGGTTCCAGGTGCCTGCCGCTTGCTCCGCGCAGTTCCCCAAAGCAATATTCTAATTAAAAAAAAAAAAAAAACCCAAAAACTTGTGAGCTTCCTAGACCTTTTTCACTTTCAGCGGCTGACCCTTCTCTGTGAAGGCAGATGGCCATCTTGCAGAGATGCCCGCTTTCTTCTTAAAATGTCTTTACCTTCACATGCGACATTTTCTCCTAATGATTCCTAGATTTCCCGAGTCTCTTGTCACTTTGCTCGTTCTGTTGTCCCTTCTCTAGTCCCCTCCTCCCTGGCCTTTTGGCTCCTACCTTCTTCTGACGCACACATCCGGTATCTGGAACACAAACTTGTCTTTTTCCCTAAGTCTCTCTTTGTTTTCCCTTCACCCCTCCGAGCTTCTGTAAAGCTTAATCTATACCCAACGCCACCACAGTATTAAAAAACTGTTCTTGCAAAAATCACCAGTGCCTACCTGATGGCCAGCGGCAGGGGCCTCTTTTCTTCTCCCACTTGAGCTCTTCGCTTTACTTAACGCCATTAACCAAGCACCTCCTTGAAGTGCTTGGCTTTTTTTTTTTTTTTTTTTCCTTTCCTTCTCTCAGCCGGTACGTTCTTCTTGTTCCTGGTACAAGACAATAGCGTACCTCCTCCTTGTCCTCCTTTGGAGTCTTCCTTCCCGTTCAAAGTTGACAGGTTATATGTCATGTAGATGCAGCATCTAAATTTCTGACTTTCTCTGTGGTCAGCGGTTTACAATCTTTACTTCGGCTTTCCTGATGATTTTGCTGCCCCTGGGGTTTCTTTTGTTCGCTTGACACGTCCATGTTCTCTTCCACCGTATCCTGTTAGTGTTTCCTGCCTTAGCGACTTGCCTAGTGGCCTACTGTTTTTCAAATGGCCTTATTAAGAGTTTACCGGTAAACATGTATTAGCTTTATAAGTGGGGGAAGAAAACACTTTTTAAAAGGATTTTATTCGTGAAGTTTTGCTATTTCCAGAGCCTAGGAGAGGAAAAAGGAAGAGAAGAGGGTGGGTACCGAAGAGATATTCTTTGAGGTCAAATCGTATTTCAGTGTCTAAAAACTGTCACCTGGACTCGCTTTTGCCTAAAAAACTTAGAACAGTTGACCATCATTTTATACTGCTCACTACATTAGGGGTTTTAGAAGTTTTAATAGAATAGGGCCTCTCAACAGGATTGTTGTCTTATTTACAGCATTACAAATTTGTTTGCATTTCATTAGGGAGTAAAGAGCAGTTGTTTATATTATGGCTCTTAAAACCCCAGAAGGTGTGTTGAGATGAAGTCTACCTTTCATTCTGTGATCAGATTGTGATTATTTTGAAGGAACCTAATTTGGCCCCCAGATCATTTTTTGCTTTGTATTGTCAAAAAATGATGCTCTAAGGGAAAGGAACGGTTATTTGAAAAATACACATTGCCCTCCACATTGATTTTCTTAACTAGTAAGGTTTGCAGTATATATTCTACCCCCATGGTATATGGAGTGATAGTGACCAAGTTTTAGGATTGATTTAGCACACACGAGCAAACCCTCCCTATTTGCAGATTTAAAGTGTTTTCGATAAACACTAATCACAAACAAAATCTCACACTGGGGTTCTTTGCCTGTCTTCCTCCATGGGTGCATTGGTGTTAAAAATGACTAAAATGTTTTTCTTTCCCTTCTTACCTAGTTCCTTATTTTCGATAAGTGGGGCAATGGATATTTCCAAGGCCTGGAATCTTTTTTTACATAAATGCACACAGCTCTGCATTCATTTGGGAAAAGTGTTAAAGTCGTTGCCTGTCTAGTGCCAGATGGTGCTTTGAGGTTGGACACCTGGTGTACTTTCCAAAGACTCAATGTCCTGCCTCTGGCACCTTAATCTTCAGTGATCTAAAGAGCTAGGTCTCTGAGAAAAATATGAACTCTTATCTGGGAGGAGGTTGGACACCGGTACTGACAGCCGACGGCCACTTTGTGATTCAGAAAGTAGTAAGTGTTTACTCTTCCTTTCCAGTTGCTGTCCTCACCTAATCGCGCTCCTAGTAGCAGACTGCATCAGATCAAAAGGGTAAATTTTACTTACTACCTCAGAGCTACGGGTGTCTGAATTTTCCATGTGGATTTTGTTCTCGTTCTGAAGATGTAGATGTTTCAAGTGAGTCCGTCTGCCACCCTGGGTAGCCATAGACAGAGGCAGATTCTGAGTGTGCATGCAGGTGAAACACAGAGTGGCCTGGGTGACAGTCTCAGCACGTGCTGCTGTACTGTGATTATGTCAAAGAAGGTAGAAAAGTCTTTGTGTATTTATTTTTTGGTAGAAAAGTCTTTTAAATTGTGCTTTGAAGTAGAGAACTGTGTGGATGTGGATAAACACTGTGTTTTCAGCACGTGCTTGTCTTTGTAGGAGGAAGGCATGGATATGATGAACAGAGAAACTGCACATGAGAGGTTAGTGCTTCCCGAGAACAGGGCCGAGCCTAATGTATGCCTTATTCCTGAGCACTGACGGCCTCTCGTTTTTATTTGTTTTAGGGAAGTGCAGACAGCAATGCAGATAAGCCAGTCGTGGGATGAGAGTCTGAGCCTGGTAACGTTCTCACATGTTTGCTTGTTTTCGATTTTCTGGAAACCTTTCTGTTGTTCCTTGGGCTCATTCCTTTTTCTCATCCACTTCCGTCTCCCCCATTTCCAAATTCGTGTTCCGTTTTTGATCTCTGCTTTTCCACCAGCATGTTAGACTCTGACTGTTTAGAGTCTGTACATTTCTATTCTAAAAGTGTAGGCGCATTTGAGTAGTAAAGAAGCACTGTGATGGGCTGAGTTGTGAATTACAAGGAAATGACACTTTATGTTTACAGAGTGATAGCGATTTCGAGAAGCCGGAGAAACTCTATTCTCCTAAAAGAATTGACTTCACTCCAGTTTCTCCGGCGCCATCACCCACCAGAGGATTTGGAAAGGTAGGCTCACTGGCGAGGTGTTCACTCTCTTTCATGCGCTGAGCTGATTACTCTAAAACACACACACACACACACACACACACACCACCTCATTTTTAAAGAATCCAATGACTGGAAGGAAAATTCACAAAAGTTTCTGATAGTAACTTGAAAAAAAAATGCTATGTCACTACAGGTGCCTATTGTCGCACGTCTGTTTCTGTGTATGTAAAATATACACACATAGCCAATTAAGCAGTTCTAAGGAGGTCGTTTCTATTGTTTTGAGAACCTTTTGAAAACTGGAGCAGCAGAACTATTTTAATACTAAATATGCTTTTTTTCTAGCAATGTTTTTCACCATCCTTACAAATGTTTGTGAGCAGCAGTGGGCTGCCACCAAGCCCCGTGCCTAGTCCCAGACGCTTCTCCAGGTAAGTCATCCTACGTTTCAAAAACGTGGTTGAAATGCTCCGCGGTCAGTTTGTCTCTCCTGATGAACTTTCTTCCCAACATTTTCTTGCGAAAATGTTCAAGCAGCAACATTGGACACAGTGAACATCCGTATACCTACCACCTGTATATTACCAGTAACATCTTACCAGAGATGCGTTATTTTGAGCCTTAGTGCCAGAGAACAAATGCGCACACAATAATACATCCTTTGTAAGGATAAGGAAAAAAGTTTAAGATTGTACACCAGTCAGATCCAAAGAGCTTTGTAATAAGGTTTATCTGTTTTTATTTTTATTTCATTTAAAAACAATTTTTTTAATGTTTATTTATTTTTGAGAGAGAGACAGAGTGTGAGCTGGGAAGGGTCAGAGAGAGAGAGGCACAGAATCCAGAGCAGGCTCCAGGTTCTGAGCTGTCAGCACAGAGCCTGACGCGGGGCTCGAACCCATGAACTGTGAGATCATGACCTGAGCTGAAGTCGGACGCCCAGCCGACTGAGCCACCCAGGTGGCCTGGTTTATTTGTTTTTAAAAAACTGTTTATCTGTTTTTAAAAACTGCTGTGGATATTTTGTCTTACAGAATTATTTTTTAAGTTTTTATTTTATTTTAATGTTTTTTATTTATTTCTGAGAGAGAGAGATAGCATGAGCAGGGGAGGGTCAGAGAGAGAGGGAGACACAGAATCTGAAACAGGCTCCAGGCTCTGAGCTGGCAGTCAGCACAGAGCCCAACGGCCAGGCTCGAACCCACGAACCGTGAGATCATGGCCTGAGCTGAAGTTGGACGCTTAACCAACTGAGCCACCAGGCGCCCCTAGTTTTTTGTTTGTTTGTTTGTTTTTTAATGTAAGTAATCTCTACCCCCAGCATGAGGCTTGAACTCATGACTCTGAGATCAAGACTTGCATGCTCTTCCAACTGAGCCAGCCAGGTGCCCCTAGACGATTTTTGAAAATAGCTTAAAATGCCATTTTTTTTCAGATTGCCATATTCCAGGTCAGATCATATATTGGCAGTTCAGTTACTCAACTTACAACACAGGCATTTTCCATTTGTTTTCTATATGACTGTCAATTTTACTGATTTATTTGATGGGCTCTAACATTGATCTTGCATCTTAGAAGTTCTTCACATCATCCTGTTTGTTTACTCTTTGAAGCAGGAGGAGTCAGAGCCCAGTCAAATGCATTAGGCCCAGTGTTCTCGGTCCTCTTAAAAGAAAAGGTAAGTGTCCCACTTCTGCTATTAAACCTGGTTGAGCTTGAATGACAAATTAGAATTCCTGTCTGAAATTAGCTCAAGGCACAACTCTTTTTTTTCTGAAGATATAGGAAATGTTCTTCCTAGCATATGCTTTACTGACTAAAGTTTATAAATTAGTTATTTAACACTACCTATATTTTTTACACCTCACAACTGAATCTTATTCATATATTCATTTTACCAATATATATTCCAAAAAATTTTGCCTCTCAGTGATCTGAATAGAAAACAGATGCAAGTTAACATGTTGCAGAAATACGTGCTTATGTCGGAGCGAATAGGTTTGTAAACATGCTGTATACTCATGCATACCGTGCATACCAAATTATGCCTCACAGAGAGAGATTGCCTCAGAGTCGAGTCTATGGAGTTTTTGATAGGATGGGGATGCTCTTAATTACCTTATTTTGAACCACGGAGTACTAAATGAAAATCCTCTCACTCAGTGCTGGTTTTAGATGCCTGTGAGGGCCCCCGGCGGAGTCTATTTAAAAAAAAAAAAAAAAAAAAAAAAAAAAAAAAAAAAAAAAAAATATTAATGCACATTTAGTCCTTATTCCTGGGCCTATATCCATGTGATTACAAGTGTTGAGGTCATTTTAAATGAGAGTTTTAGCAATCATTTTGAAAAAGCAATGTACTAAGAGGTTTCTTTGTGCAGATCACCTTTGGGGTCAGGAAACCAGTCACTCTCCTAATATTAGGTAAACTTTCAGCTTTAGGGGAAACTTTGCAGTGATAGCACCATGCACAGATTCCAAAAGTATGATATTTCAGATAACTTAGAATTAAAGATGGTGTGCTCTGGAAAATCGGTTTTCATATGGTCGCAATGTTTGTAGTCAGCGAATACATTTTTTATAAACTAGTAGTCTTAATGCTGCAGGGAATTGTTTACGATCATAAGAACTTTCTCAGGAAGTTATTACGTGACACTAACACCTGGAAATAAAAGCCATTATTAGTATTGTAATTCATTTTAAATATCTTGCAAGAAATTACTGGAATTAGTATGGTTGTTCAGTTTGAGAGCTATTCCAAAATATACCAGCAGATGGAGGGATTCTTTGCTGAAAAGGGCTAAAGTCTTTTGCTAACAAGGTGTTGAAAGTCCAGCAGTAGCTTTTAAAAGCTCCACATTAAAGCATGGAAAAAGCAAATAAAGATAGAACCTTTCCTGAGTTTCATCAATTTTCGGGATAGTTCCAGAAGAAAGATAATATGAATTCATTGATAATATGAAAAAGAAATGAATGTTGCATTTATTCCTGCTTGATCTTTCTCCATCGCAAGAATCTCCTACAGCTGTAAGTTCAGTTACTAATTCTCTCCTGGAGTAGATTTAGGCCCAGGAATTGCATTTTGCTTAATCTTCCATTTTAAAGCTCAGATAAGGAGCCTCCAGACTAAGGTATTTGTGTGTTTTATATCATAGCTTATTTGGAAAAGGCCTTTTTCTTCTGTCCAACTGAGGCATTTTAGTTTCTGCACTCCTGGTGGCAAAATGTTGTTATACCAGTGGATGCACAGTTTTTCTGCTACCTTATAGATGTTCTGAGAAAATCTATAACATTGGGATAGCTGGTACAACACCAATTTTGTGAATTGGCTAATACTTGCTTTTGATTACAGATGTCAGCTGGGCATTCAGAGTTATTTTTTTTAAATCTTCATTTTACTAGTCTAAAGCAACCTTTGAGTTGATTAGACTACATACGTTTTAATGCATTTGGCTTCGACTCAGCAAACGTGCCACTATTAATATAAACTCAGTAGTCTTTCCTAATTCTCTAGGATAAATCATTATTCACTGCGAGCTTCAGCTATTTGGGGACTCTATTTCTGCCGTGGTATGCCTTGATTCATTTTGCTGACTACGGTCAGCGTCCTCCTCTTTTATTAAACAACACGACTCTGCCCGTAGCATGCTAAACAAGAAGGGCTTTTTTTTTTTTTTTTTTTTTAAAGGGCTGCTTACTTTTTGGTTAAGGGTCTGTGGAAGCCTACTTCTTCCACCTTAAAGCACATGGAAAAATAGCTTTGAAGTAACGGCTTGTAGAAGTGTTCTGAGCTTTGGTTATATAGAGATCATCCCATTTTAGCACCATGCCTGTATCTGTAAAATTGTTTTACAGTAGCACCTTCCCTCTCTGTTTTAGGTGAAATGGAGACAGAAAGCCAGCCCAAGAGGCTCTTCCAAGGCACTACCAATATGCTGTCCCCGGAGGCCACACAGCTGTCTGATCTCAGTTCATGGTAAAAAATGAAATAAAATCAAAAGGATGTTAGGGTATGATCTATTTAAAAAGAGCCACATCAAAAGTATATTGGGATCATTTGATATAATATTCAACTTTTTATTCATGCTCTGTAGAAGGGAAATCTCCATGGAGGTACAGATAATGGGGGGGGGGGACCCAGATCATTTGAAAGTCGTTGAGTACTTTGCTGGAAATGTGTGTTTCTTTCTGGCACCTTCACCTTCATCCCTAGCTCCTGTCAGGTCAGGCTCTCTCAGTAGGTGCTAATGGTGTGGGAGGTGACAACGGCTGGCTGGCATGACAAAGCATTCCCGGGGCACTGTGGATAGTGCGCCTTGATCCTAGCTCTTCTACCTGCATTTTGTAGTATCTCCTTTTAGCCGAGCAGAGAACACCAGCGTCCTCTTAAGCTTGGCATTTTCTAAATAGCATTTCTGGTTGTTATAAAATCTTTTGGAAATTTAGGGGTATTCTGGCCTAATCCTAACTAAGGTTTTTGTTTTTATACCGACACTTCCTGACTCCTGGGGTCTGCTCACATAATTTTTTTTTTTTTTTTTTTTTTTTTTTTAGTCTTACTCATCCAAGGTATCTAGCTTAAGGCCCTTCAGTGTTTTTGTGCAAAAGTCAACTTCTTTTCATCTCCCTGAAGTTGAGTACTTGGATGCTGATGTACGTAGTGGAAGGAAGGAGAAGGGGTAGTGGCAGTGGCCAGGTGATATGTTAAAATCTTGTGATATGCATTTGTAATCCACTCCCTGAGCACCGGTATTTCTAGACACAGTTGTGATTAGACTTTTTGTTGGGTACCTTTGGTCTCCTGAGTTTTATAGCTGAGGGTCTTTTTTAAGAGCCCAACAGTGCATTCACTTTAAAAATAGAAGGATGGAAATATTTAATTAAAAAAGGGAGGGGAGGGTGCATGGGTGGCTCAGTCAGTGAAGCGTCTGACTCGATTTTAGCCCAGGTCATGATCTCACGGTTCATGAGTTCGAGCCTCACATCAGGCTCTGTGCTGACAGCAGGGAGCCTGCTTGGGATTTTCTTTTTCTGCCCCTCACCCACTTGTGTGCGCATTTTCTCTCCCTCTCTCTTTCTCAAAAATAAAATAAATAAACATTTATTTAAAAAAATAGAAGGGTGGTGCCCTTTAAACGGAAGAATTGTTTAAGCTACTTCTAAGGTAGAAGAATTAGTGATTCTTTCCAAATCAGATATTTGTTGTTTTGTGTAAGATAACCTGTACTTTTAGTTGACCAAGAAGTCACAGATTATTCTAGTTTATTAGACTCGTTGATCAGTGCTGTTCTAACATTGGAACAGATGTCTTTTAGATTGTTCTAGCTATTTTTGGCCCCACTGTCTCGCTTCTCTCTCGTATGTATCTGTCCTTGATGGCTCAGTGTGCTAATTTTGGTGTAGAGCGCCTTTCCAGGTATGTAGATGATTGCAAAGAGAAAACTTCTAAAGCTTATCAACATGACTAGTGGCTGAAACTCTATACTTAGTGGAAACTGCCTATCACTTTTATGGTAAAGTGTGTTTTAATATAGGCACATGACATTATAAATAGCTTTGCTTACCCAGTTACTAACCAGGCAACCAAGTTAGAGAAAAGATATAAAAGCATTTTGCCAAGCTGAAAACATACAGGGTGCGTGAAGTGGAGGTTGTTTAATATTTTCATAGACTGTACAGGGTGCCATAAAACAGATTCACATGAATAAATAAGAAAGGAAAGAGAAGGTATTTACCTGGGGTCCCCACCCCTCATTCAGACATTTATTCCTGTGAGCGGCAAAATCTAAGTTGTCAACGATGGTGGCTGCGGTGAGGGTCCTATTTCTGTCGCCACTATGTCCATTCTCCTTCGACCTGCGCCTAGCTATGAGAGCCCTGGGGACATTAACGTTGGTGATCAAAGGCACTTTTGATCCGTAAAGACAAAAAGTGTTGCCTCACGCTGGAAAGATTTGTTTTATTCACTTGAGGCCATAGAGCAGTAACAAGCCAACATGTGGCTCAAGTAGTATGTTAAAAAGAAATTTATTACTCAAAATTCACAAAACTAAGTGTGAAAGATATTTACGTAGTTAAACTTTAAAAGGTGTTTTTAGTATGTCTGCAGCGTCTGGACTTCCAAGAATATTAAAGCTGAAAATGGCACTGACTTTTGGGACCCCTTGTTTACCAGTATTGCTGACATTTATGCCTGCAGTGAAGAGACTTTAAGCATGAGTTAGTCATGATCTGTAAAAATTAGATCCTGCCTTTGCAGAAACTGTTTTTCCTATGTCTGTAATGCTGTTTCATCGATCAGACATCTGTATTCTTAGAAACGGGGACAGAGACAGAGACTGTGTTCTGCTTTCTGTTGCCAAGGGTAACAATCTACGTGATCACTGAGGAAACCATTTTTATACATTTTAGGGAGCAGAAAAGGTACCACCAGATCATGAGGAGACGTTATCTTATCATTTAAATTGTAATTTGTTCTCTGCCCCACCCTATAAAGAACAGATGGGTTTTAAAGCTTTAAGTTAAAACTTTATTATTTTTTAAAAATGTAATTGTCAAATTGGCTAACATACATTGTATACAGTGTGCTGCTCTTGGTTTTGGGGTAGATTATCTTGATTCATCGCTTACATCCAACACCCAGTGCTCATCCCAACAGGTGCCCTCCTCCATGTAAATTAAACTTTATGTGTTAGATAACAGTCTTTAAAATCTGATGTCTGACGTGTAAATTAAGTGTGAAGTTTGAGTATGGACCCCTTTGGGGTTTGTGTCCAGTGTGTTAACTGCCACGCAAAGGAATAGGAGGCTTGTTCTTTGTATCATATTTCTTACTAGATGAAAATTCTGAAATCTTTGCCAACCAAATGTGGGGAGCATTGTCAACCACAAGGCAGGAATTCTGTCGTTCTGCATGTAGTCCTTCTGAAGATCAAGAATTTGATCATAGTTTGGAAGTACACCTTTCCATCTGCTTTGATTCTTTTTGTGTGCCGGAAACTCTGTTCTGCTCCTCTTTCTTTTGGGAACAAGATTATCTGTGGCATGTTATATAAAATAAAAGAGTTTGGAGGGCCACCAGTCATATAGTGAAGATTAAGTGGAGTCTGTTTCTTGTACAGAAAAGGACAAGTTCTCCCATGAAATTTTTCCCCGCTGCATCAGTGTTACTGTGATTGCTAATTTAGCCTTTAGAGTTTTATTTTGACATTTCTCATTAGATTTCACTTAGTAATTTTAACATGATTTTTAAGGGTATATGTGTTGTGGCAAGAAAGTTTAATCACGAATAGGTAATATGTGCTAAGAATAAGACTTCATGGTGATTTATTTTATAATAGGCCTGTATTCATATACCTTGAACATGTTTATGTGAGCAGCTTAGACATCTGTGCTGACACTTTAAAGCTCCTATCCTCAAGGTGACCGTGGAAATGATAACACTTAAATGTATGATTTTAAAAACTTAGAAGTTATGCAGAAAGATACTGCTGGGTCTTCCTCAGGTAAGATAGTAGAGACCAGAGAATGTACCCCATGGACCAGTTTAACCCACACCGAGGGGTAGGGGATGCCCTGAAGTCGTAGCTTATATCAGGATCGGTGCTGGGGTTGGTAGAGCTGTGGCTAATTTCTAGTGCATCTACCTGCCTGCCCAATCTCATCCGACAGAACCCAGTTTATTGACTGCACAAGGCACCAAGTGGCTTACCCACATGGGTAATAGCATGAGACACATTGGACATCCTGATTTTGTTGTTACTTTATTTTTAATGGTTCTCTTTCACCCTTAATTTTTTAGGCAAAGGGCACTACCGTAATAGTCATGAGTATTTTTGTGTGGTTTAGATATGTACACTCAGTGGCTGGAATAAATTGGAATTCGTTGACTCTTTTTTTTTTTTAGTGTTTATTTTTGAGAGACACAACACAAGCAAGGGAGGGGCAGAGAGAGAGGGAGACACAGAATCTGAAGCAGGCTCTGGGCTCTGAGCTGTCAGCACAGAGCCCAATGCGAGGCTCGAACCCACAAACTGTGGGATCACGACCTGAGCTGAAGTTGGATGCTCAACCGACTGAGCCACGCAGGCGCCCCATCGTTCACTTTTGATGTTTGTATTCCTATGCTGAGTTTGAACCATCTAGGTCCTTTGCTTTCTTTGCATTGTCTGGCTGTCACCATTAGTCTAAGGCTCATTAACACCTCCGTCAGAGCTGAAGCTAGGCAGGGAAAAAGATAAACTCAAATTAGACCATACTTTGTTGCTTTTAGAAAGCCTGGTAGAAGGTTTAATAGTGAACACTATGAAAGTCACTTTTGTTCAGCGATCTGTGAATTAAAAAAATCACGTAAGTCTTGGTTTACATGGATTTACTGTGGGTAGTTTGTGACCTCTAGTCCCTGCCTCCACGACCACGTGTAGTAGTGCCAGATTTATTAGATAGAACAGATTTTAGTTTTGTGAGAATATCTGGAGTAAATTCTACTGGAGACTAGATGTAAGTATGCTGTTGTACTATAAATGAGCAAAGGTTTAGGTATGTTCATATTTAAGAATAAAGAAGAAATTTCTGAAAAGGCATAAACGAAATGAAAACTTCAAATTTGTATTCTTTTTCTCCTGGTAACTTCTTGGTAACTTCCCTGTTAGCTTATTTCTCGTAAGGTAATCAACGGTGTTAGGTGAGAGCTCGCTCTGCATGAGTCATGTTCTGTGTTTTTGAATGAATGCAGGATTCACCTAAGCAAGCAGGTCTTATTACGAATGGAATCTTTTAACCCAGGGCTCACCATAAGTCTGGTGGCTGGAATAAGAAAGTCTTTATTTATATTCAGATTATCTGCTTGGTGGCCAAATTTTAATCTAAGCCTGTTTTTTTCCCTGCCAAGTAGCACAGAGCGTGTCCTTCGGCTGCCTGGCCAATATGTGCTTTAGGAAAGTAAATTCATTTTAATATTAGTCTAGGCAAAATGCTGCAGGAGGAAAAATCACATATGTTCCAGAGGCAAATATAAAGGTCTTTTGATTTTCCAATGTCTTAGATTATCTGTATAACTTTCTTTCAGTACTCTGAATAATTCATATTTTAGACCTATTTTACCATTGGGTTGAAAAAATATCAGAGCCAGCTCAATTTTCTGAACTTCTTACTTAAAAGTGGTATTATTAATGATGCATTTCACAGCAGTGAGCATAGACTGGGACTACTGTGGACTATACTGTTTCCATTTGTATTTTTACTTTTCCGAAGCTTATTTGTATTATGTCTCCACCTAACAGCAATCCACAGGCAGGAGAAAGAAGTGACATTTTGAAGAAAAATAGCAGGTGGGGGAGGTATAGGGCCCAGAAACTTCCAAATGTACCATGGGTTGCTTAACACTGGAACTACATTAACTTGGAAATTCATAAAAATGATATTAAATATCTTTTTAAACATATTTTTAGTGTTTGTTTATTTTTGAGAAAGAGAGCGAGAGACAGTGTGAGCAGGCGAGGGGCAGAGAGGGAGGGAGACAGAGAATCCGAAGCAGGCTCCAGGCTCTGAGCTGTCAGCACAGAGCCCGACGTGGGGCTCGAACTCGCGAACTGCGAGGTCATGACCTGAGCCGTAGTCGATCGCATAACCGACTGAGCCACCCAGGTGCCCCAATATTAAGTACTTTTAATATTGAGCCTCAGGGCACATTAGACCAGGGTGGGCTTTTGTAAAGGAGCCAGTACACAGACTTCATTTAGAATCCCTATTTCCTGGGGCGCCTGGGTGGCTTAGTCGGTTAAGCGTCTGACTTTCGCTTAGGTCATGATCTCGCGGTTTGTGGGTTCGAGCCCCGCGTCGGGCTCTGTGCTGACTGCCAGCTCAGAGCCTGGAGCCTGTTTCAGTCTGTGACTCCCTCTCTCTCTGACCCTCCCCTGCTCACGCTGTCTCTCCCTCTCTCTCTCCTAGAAATAAATAAAACATTAAAAAAAAAAAAAGAATCCCTATTTCCTGATCATTATTCCTTCTCCAATTCTATGCTTGCTTCCCTTTTCAAAATTTAAAAAGTGTGTCTGTGTAAATCCTAAAACTGCCTGACTACCTCTACAGCTTTGTCTCTCATTGTGTTCTTACTCTCTGTACTTAACAGCCACACTAGCCTGCTTTTGGCTCCTAAAACTCCCCTTGCTTACTCCCAAACCATACCTGGTTAACACCTACTCATCTTCTGGATGACAGCTCAAGTATCACATTTGGGGAACGTGTTTCTCCCTGTTCCTCCGAATTAGATCAGGTTACCCATGTTATGTACTTGCAGAGCCCTTTGTATCTGGCTTATATTGCTTTGATCACAAATTATATATATATATATATATATATATATATATATATATATTAGCATGGTTATTTAAATGTTTCCTGTACTGTAAGTTCAGACCATGTCTGTCTTAGACACCACTATATTTATAATATCTAGCATACTTCCTGCACTTGGTAGGTACTCAATAAATATTAAGATAAATGAATGTGAGTGAATTCAGGCCAGATCTAGAGCATAGAACTTCTGTGTTGGATCAGTGAGAATCAGAGCCAGAAAGGCAGCCTGGTGCACAGCCGTGAAGGCTCTTACTTGTGAATACTGAAGTACGAAGCCAGGTTTGTGAAGCAGGCCAGATAGATGATTGGCAGCCATGAGCGCCTGGGCTGGGTGGGTAGGCATCCCTGGGCTGGATTGTAGAGGCTCCGATGCATCAGGAGTTTTAGTGGAAGGAGAGGAGCAGAAGCTAGTTGTCAGAATCAGAGGGGTAAACGGAGGGTGAGGGTATTGGGTCCGTGGCTATAGAGCATTCCTTTTAGCCTGACCGGATAGTAACTGAAGGAGGCTTGTAGAGATAGCAGGGACACTTTTGGGTTTTGAAAGCAAGAGAAGAGGAAACTGTGTAAGACATTGACAAAACGAGAAGAGAAAAGACAAAAAAAATGGAGGGGGGAAGTGAGGGGGGAAACGTGTTTGAGTTGAAGGCATCTTGGGAATGGGGAAGTGGTCACATCTAGAGTAGTGAACACCCGTTGGGCTGGAGTAGCGGGACTGTGAAGCAGTGTACTTAATAGAATACTTCAGACAGTCCAGGGTACCTCAGCGAGTAACCACAGCTCTTACTCTAAAGCTGATGGGAAGGGAAGAAGATAAATCTAGGGATAGCAATCTCTTGAGCTAAAGGTAAGGGAGCTCCCTCACAAAAATCATGACCTGTCCAGGGGAATGCCGACCGTATGTTGGACATTCGGGCGCGTCCAAGAGAGCACTGAAGTGGTCTAGAACCTTGAATGTCTGTCTTCGGATTTCTTTGACTTTGTTTTTGCAGGTATCTGAACATAGTACATTACGCAGTTCATTGCTGTTGCTTTTATGCTTTTTATTATTTACAAATGCTCTTACTGATTCGTGAGTTCTTGAAACTATGTCGTTGCATGTTATGTTTACCTTTACCCTGATAGATGCATCTGCTTATAATTCTTTTTGCTTTGTCCTCAGTTCAGATGTTTTGGATGGCAGTAGTAGCAGCAGTGGCTTGTCCTCAGACTCGCTGGCTAAAGGCAGTACAACCGCAGCGCCTCCAGTAGCATGCACCAATTCATGCTCTTCGTTCATCTTGATGGATGATCTCTCACCCAAGTGACTTACCCATTTCTGATTCAGTGTTTTAACTGCCGTTTCCTACACAAAACATTCAGTGAGGAACGCAGAGAACTTTGATCCATAATGAGGATTAAAGTGTGACAGACTTAAACCATTTCGATGCTGTTCTTTTTTGGCATCTCTCTCCTCTAAAGTTCAATTTTATGAGTGTAGTGACCTGACTCCTGTCTCTTTGCTGATCTCATTTTGGATCTAGTGACTAAATCTCAAATATTCATTTTTGATTGCTTAGAGTATATATATATATATATATATATATATTTTTTTTTTTTCCCTCCGTGCCTCAGAGAGCACCTATTTTAGAGTCTATACGTTTAATAAAGGAAAGCACTGATGTGTATTTTCAACACTGGTTCTTTTTCCCAGCAGTGACATGACACCTAAAGTTGATCAGAAATTCTCTTGCTTGAGAGATTTTTTTTTGTTGTTCTCTGTTGACCACATAGTTTCAAATCTCTTTATTTCACAATAATAGATGGATTGCTTTCAGTTCTATTAAATTTTTATTTTTCTGCATCGGCTTACAGTACATTATTTTGTTGCCCTTTCCTGTTTGAGCTGCTTACTTGCCATTTCTCACCGAGGGGAAGAAACACGTAGTTGCTTTCATTACTATCTGTGTCGCTTTGCTGGTGGAGTGCAGGGCGTAAGGTTTGATTTTAGTGCCGAGAATGTAAATGGACTGACGGGGATGCCTGGATTAGCCACCAGAGGTTCTCATGCCTTAGCTGCCGCCGTTGATGTGTGTCTCGCCCAAGTCTGTTGCCCGAAGGAATATATAAAATATTGTTAATGTTTCTAGGTGGTGTTATCAAGGAGAAGAAATCCCTGCCTTGACCAGATGTGTGGAGCATCTACAAATGAATGAATAATGTTATGTACACGCAAAGCACTGTGTAGAAAAGCGTACATGGAGCTTGACCGCTTGTTTCGGGGGATATCGTGAGGCCTGGGGGTTTTGGGGTGCAGTGTTGTGCTGTAAAGGTGTGTGTCATACGGTAGGCTAGAAAAGGGGGCTTTCTGTGTCTGACCGCCACATACTGGTTTGATTGCTGCTGTTTTCTGATTCCTTTTTTGTCGTTGGATTTGTTTCTTTGTCGTGTGGTGAGTGTTGCTGCCCGCTGTGTTTTGGTTCTCGTGTCTGCCACCAGAGTCCAAATCCAGTTCTTGTTTCCGCTGCCCTCTAGTAAGGGCAGCTTCCTACCTACGAGGAAGCTTTTAGGAGCTGAAAGAGTCCATGTTACTGCGCATTCTGCTTTTACGAAGCTGTTGAGCTGTAAACAGTGTACATGATAGTAGGTCTGAGGTACCATAAGTTATTTAATTTTTAAAAGAGGAGAATCCTGATAGAGCTATTAAAAAAAAAAAAAAAACAACCTGAGTGTAATCTATCATTGTGTTAATCTGTCGTTGTGTTTTTATTTATTATTTAAAACTGTGTTAAAATGTCTGTTGTGATAGATTTCTTTTAATGTTCAGACATCGTGGTTGGATCGTCTGTGCTTAATATGCAAATCTGCCCGCTAGGATCATAATGTTCCACTTTTTAAATGAATGTAGAAATGGAAACTACTGCCTTTGTGTCCTTTGAAGGCAAAGATTCTTGACTTCTAAAGACTCATGCCGCGCTTTGAGGGTACTCACAGAGGAGTAATACTGTATGCCTTGAAGGGAAGTGTATCCTCTTTGAATTATAGGAGAGCATCACTAGCTTGCAGTAAGTCATTCTATTACAATATCAGATGTGGTGTTTCCTTTAAACTGTACTAACCACCATGATGGCCATTAATGGCTTTATTTCTCATACTGCTTTCACCTGTGCGAAGTCCATAATCTTTCAATCCTCACGTAAATGTACATATTATGAAGGTTGTTCCCTAGTGTGCCATGTGAAAGAGTAATTACCTCGACGGTATTCAGTGTGCTTATTCCACTCATGAAAGAACCACGTTGGGATGTTTCTGCCTATCCAATACCGAGAGGTGGTTTTCTCTTACAGGGTATCTATCCACCTTCCCTCTACAGTCTTCTTTGCCTTAAAGGGATACTTTTGGCCATGGATCTGGGGTTCTAATTTAGGACTCTTAAGAAACAACCTTTGGAATGTGATGATCTTTAAATTTCTTTCTGAAATCCAGTGGTGGGTTAGAATTGGGACAGGAACGTGAAGTTGTTCCAATATTATGGGAACTAGGAGACCAGATGGTTCACTTTCTTCTTTAAACCAAGGTTCGTTTTTATTGTTTAAATTGACTAGAAAGTTAAGTTTATGCAGGGATTGTTTTGGAATAAATAAAAGAGAGAAATGCTGACCTTCAGACGAGCTTTGTTGACAGTACCCCTTTATTTTTATATGAAGTCTAATATTTGAAAAGTGGTCATTGTTATAAAGTAAAATTCTCTCTTCCTATTCTAATATCTCCTGTTTCAGGCTTCTATTTGAAAACAAGTCCAAGAGATGATATAAGAAAATCCTATAGATGCTCTTTTTGCTTGACTAACTTATATAATCCCTGTGTTTCATGATAACCGCTTTTGGAATAAATTATAGAAAATTTTGTGAAATGCTGACCTTGTGTATATCTTAGAATGCAAATTTAATAAAGTGTGTACACATGCATAAAATTCTGTAAAAATTTGTAAAGTCTCTTTTATTCTTATTAATAATTCATTTCTGCCTCCGTATCCCAGGATTGCATTCCCCGTGTCTCATTGCAGTCAGGTTTGAGATAAAATGATATCGGGAACACAGAAGAATAACTGTATTGACGTTGCGGTTGTTTCTCAAAACAGAAAGGAAACCTCTCCGTGTAATCTGTCACACTTTCACGAGCATTTTGTAGAATGGGACAATTTAGACAGTTTTTGCCAAGGGCACACATATTTCTTGTTTATGTACAACTCAGGTTATGAACACCCCATTTTCTTTTCAGTATCTTAAAATCATGAACTGTTCTATTTCCTGTATATCCTTCACCCAGGTTCCCTATTTAACATTTAACCGTGTTTGCTTTATCATTTTCTCTCTCTCCCCCTCTCTCTTGTATATGTGAATACTTCATACTTAAGAATTCACATATTTTTTCTAAACCATCTAAAAAGTTACAGAAATGATAGCCCCTTACCCTTATGTGCTCCAGTGTACATTTCCCAAAGACTAGGACCTTCTGTGTAACCATATTACAACTATCAAAATCAGGAAATTGCCTTTGATACAAAACTACCATTTAATCTGTAGACTCAATTCAAAGGTTGCCTGGGGTCCCAATAATGTCGTTTTAGCAAAAAGGAAAAAAAATCTTCTGACCCAGGATTCAATCCAGGATTGTGTGTTACACTTCATTGTTAATGTGTCTTTGATCTCCCCCAATCTAAAGTCCCCAGTCTTTTTGTGGTTTTCATAGTTTTGAAAAGGACTGGCCAATTTTGAAAAATGTCCCTCAACTTAGGTTTGACTGTTTCCTAGGTATTAAATTCAGGTTACACATTTTTGGCAGAAACACCGCAGAATTGACACTGCATTGTCAGTCTGTTGTTGCAGGAGGCACATGATGTAGTTGTCCTTTTACTGGTGACGGGAACCTGGATCTTGTGGTTCAGGGGGTACCTGCCAGATTTCTTTTGTACGGTTAATGGTTTCCCTTTGAAATAACGAAATGTTTTGTGTGGAGATCTTTGAGAGCGTATAAATAACCTGTTGCCTCAAGCGTTCACTCGTTTTAGTATCTTTCATGCCAGATGGCGTTATGATGGCCAACCAATGGTGACTCTCATTCTGTCATTCTTTCTATGTTGATTGGTTGGCATCATACCGCAAAAAAGACATTTCCCTTCACCCTTTATTTGCATCAGTGTGGGACTCATGGACTCCTATTTGCTTCCGTGGGGTTTAAATCATTTTCATTATTTTGATATTCACATCTCCGATCTGGACAGTGGAGAGAGCCCCTCCAAGCTGGCTCCTGTGTCCTTTTGGCCAACCTCAGGTTTTTGGATCGGTGTTTCACTATCTGGCTTACGATGTCCCAGATGCATGCTTTCCCTGCCCCCAGCCTTGGGATCAGACATTTCTCTAAGGAGGCCCGATTCCTTTAATATTTCAAAGCCAAGGTGTAGGCACTAGGTATAATCATTGCTACTAGGGCATCATGGTCTAAAGGCCTTGGCACAGAGAAAATATATGTAAATGTGTGTGTGCATGCGCATATACATATCTGTCTTAAAAATCATGAGTTCAAACTGGTACCTCCGATTCCAGTTAAACACCACAGGGTTCGTTCCAGTGTCCACCCTATCGTACATTTGTAACTCCGTTCTCCGATGGACGACCCTGGCTCCTTTTATCCTCAATATGATTGTTCGTTTCCCCTGTATGTAACCAATTTCTGACCCTGCCACCCTGGCTGCCTCAACTCCAGCCATCTTCTTGCTCTGACCCTGATGGCCCCTCCAGTCCCACCAGCCTTGGCTTCCCCTGAAGAAGGGAAAGGGACAACGGGCCAAATAGGCAGGTTCTAAATCTCCCTGGCTCACACGCATCCCAGCCACCATGCCCAAGCTCCCCTTCTGTGTTGAGTTGCTCACAGCTCAGGGATTTCTTTTTTTTTTAATTTTTTTTTAAGTTTATTTATCTTTGAGAGTGAGAGAGAGTGTACGCAGGGGAGGGGCAGAGAGAGAGGGAGACACAGAATCCGAAGCAGGCTCCAGGCTCTGAGCTGTCAGCACAGAGCCTGACGCGGGGCTCGAACTCACAAACCGTGAGATCATGACCTCAGCCGAAGTGAGACACTTAACCGACTGAGCCACCCAGGCGCCCCAGCTCAGGGATTCCTTATACTCATCAATTTGACAAATACTTACTGAGCCCCATGCTGGGAACTAAATGCAGATTAAGATCGTGCCTACGAGTAGACCAGCCTGGCGGCATAAATGGAAGTGCGTGAAGCACTGAGTGTGCTGGAATGCTTCCCCAGAGGACGTAGCACTGAAGCTGAATCTTGAAGAACAAACCTGGGGTGGAGGTGGGAGTCAGGTAGAGGGAAAGGATACAGATGCTACTGCAGAGACGGGTAACTTGCTAAGAGAAGAAACGAGGCTGGAGAGAGAAACGGGTAACATCTGGTCTTGTAGGACTCGAGAGTCAGGTTGTGGAGGTGGAGGCCATGCGCATAGAGGAAGTAGTGAGATTAGCAGAGAAGGTGAAGGGCAAAATCCAGACCAGCACCAACATCCAAGAGACAGGTGGAAGGAGAGATGGGGCGGGAAGAGAGGTAGAAAAACCTGGAGAAACGAGCGAACACTATCAGCGAAGCTAAGGAAGGAATTGTCTCCACGGTCACTTAAGATGAGGACCGAAGAGATCTCATCGGTGGGATCTGATCTTAAGTCGGAAGATCACTTAAGATGAGATCTTCCCACTGGAGCTGATAATTAGGTCCCCAGAGACTTTCATTAGTGTATTCTTGGTGAGGTGGGGGGGGCAAAAGCCAGATTGCCGTGGCTTGAACAAAGGGGGAGTTTAGGAAATGGAGACAAACAGCACAGGCTGGCCAAAATCTTCTAACTCCCTGCTCCCCTTCTCTCCCAGCCCTTGCTCAATGACAGCCCCAAGTCGTTCCCCATTTGCTCCCCCGAATCCGTTAGCACTGTATCCAAAACGTAACAGTCACTCAATAAAATGTTGAATCACCGCACACTCTGACCAACAGAGGGAGCTAGAGGAAAGTCACTCTATCCTATTGAGGGAGCTAAAAGAAATCAGAGAGTGTTAGCCTATAGAAGGTGCTGGAAGAAAGCCCCAGGGAAGTGTTAACTGCACACTCCGACCTCTAGGAGGAGCACCAAGCTTCTGGCTTTGCAGACATTTCTGAGGAAAACGCATGAGGAGCCTGCGTCAGGGAGGCTCACCTTTAGGTAATACTTCTTAATATGTACCTAATAAGTTCTGTTTGTGGCATGTGGTGTTGATTTTCCATTTATGATGGTGATGGGAAGTTTTCTGTTGGATTTAGCAAATGACAAAATGAATATAACAAAAACTGAGTTCATTTAAAGGAACATCTTAAATAAGCAATAGTATGAGTGGTGGATCTCAAGATACTGCCCAAATCTTCAAAGTAAAGAGTAAATCAGAACTTAGCTCCAGGAAAGCACTGGGTCATGGTGGTGTGTGGAACTGATGGTATGAAGTTAAAAGCTGTTGAATCTGTGTGGAATGCTCTTTGGTGCCTCTTGGATCCTCTGAGGTTCTGATTCTGCTCTTCTCCTGTGAAGTGTGGTGAGAGAAGTCTGGTGCCTTCTGAGGAGAAGACACCCCTCTCTCGGCCTGAAAGTCAAGGGGGAACTTGGTTTGGGCACAGGGAAAAGGAGCCTTAAAATGCCTGGAAGCCTGGTTTGTTAGGTTCTGGTTTGTTTGGAACTGAGGTGTTTCCTGGGGAGTTTCAGTGCTAAAACAAGGAAAGTCCTGGGCAGAGTAGGACCATTCAGTTACCCTGAAAGGTGTCTCGCCTTCCTTCGGTGTGGTTTTCCTTCAGTTTCTTTCCTTACCTCTCTTCTGACTGAAGGAGTGTTTAGAACTCCAAAGCTCGGGTCAAAAGGTCACCCTCAGAGAAAGAAAGTTCGAGTCTAGGTCACTGAGGCTTGTCTATTTAGGGGAAAATGAATTTTTAGTCTAACCCACTTAGTGACTACACCGAAGTTTGAGGCGAAAGCCTGAGCTGGTAAAGTGTTTCTTTGAATATGTTCTTCAGGCATTTATCTCCCTCCCAAGACCTGTGGAATATGGGTCGCAGGAAGGGGGACGCTGACTGGTGGTGATGGTGGTGGGCTAAGAATTATAGGATTTATAGGGGCACCTGGGTGGCTTGGTTAAGCGTCTGACTTCGGCTCAGGTCATGATCTCACAGTCTGTGGGTTCAAGCCCCGCGTGATGGTGTATAATTTCTCTTCAAAGAAAAAAATGAACGTCTCATAGCAGTATTTAAAATTATTTTCTTTTTTGTGTGTATTTTTCATTCATTTTAGGGGCGCCTGGGTGGCTTAGTCGGTTAAGCGTCTGACTTTCGCTTAGGTCATGATCTCACGGTTTGTGGGTTCGAGCCCCGCGTCGGGCTCTGTGCTGACTGCCAGCTCAGAGCCTGGAGCCTGTTTCAGTCTGACTCCCTCTCTCTCTGACCCTCCCCTGCTCACGCTGTCTCTCTCTCTCCTAGAAATAAATAAAACATTAAAAAAAAAATTTTTTTAAGCATCAGTTATGAAGGGAAAAAAGCTCATTATAAAAATTTCAAACCTTATGGAAGTATGCAAAGTAAACGAAACCTCCTTTCCCCACAGCCTTCTCATCTGTAATGTAAGTTTGATTTGTATACCTAGTTAGCCTTTTTATACATATGCAAACATCTTTATAATGGGCTTGCATGCGTATTTTAGAGCTTTTTATTGAAGTATACATACAGAAGAGTGTGCTGCTTGATGAATTATCACAAACTGGATGTCCTATGGAATGTTCTGTGTGACCTGGGTGATAGATACATGTGTTTATTCAGTTTGTGAAAAATGGCTAGAAGTGGGCATTAGGGGGCGCTTCAGGAGTTCTGGATTATTCTGTGACATGGGTGATGGTTAAATGGGTTCATTC